AAATTGTATATGGAACATGAATGAGACAAGTATTCTAATTCCTAAATTTCCGTCCTGTTCCCGTTCCCGAACATTCCCGTTTGCCCACCCCTAATAGCATTTATGGTTTTTGGGTCCCTAAAATATGGAAGAGCTAGATGAAATATCAAATTTTCGTCATTTGTGTCTGACTACACAAATGGGTGACTTAGCCGTAGACTCTAACGAATAGCATAGAGTCCAATTGAGCACACAAGTTTTGCATATTTAACCTTATTACTGAACTTGATAAATTGCATTTGTTTTGATGATTGGGTTTACAGTGTAAAGAGATAAATTACATGATCTGAATATTAAACATGTGCTTGATACGAGAAACCGTTTACAGTGAGTCCTCCATCAACGCAAATGGTCTGACCCGTTATATAAGAAGTTGCAGGCATACAAAGAAATGCCACGAGCGAGGCTACCTCCTCTGGCCTCCCTAAGCGCCCCAAGGGCTTTCTTGATATCACCTCCTTCTTGAACTCATTATCCACGGCCTATAGATAAATCATGACATGCATAGAAAGTCAAAAGATCATCAAAATAGAGAGAGATCTTCGAGGAACATAACGTTGGAACTCACAATATCAGCTAAAGGAGTGGCAATGACCCCAGGAGCCACTGCATTAGCCCTTATGCCGTCGCTCGCCCACTCGCATGCCAAATTCCTTGCTAGTTGATTCATCGCCCCTATGCATATAAAACACACTAACATGTAATAAAAAACCTTGACTGTTTGTTATATTTAGTGTACATCGTTTTTAAATGAATCCACGATTTTAAGGAAAATCAATTTGCTAATCCTTATATATTAATTGGAGAGTGATTTGTGAGAATATGGTTATCTGTCATCTCCACAATCACTCTCACCAAACAAATTGTGACATGGCTTGAAAAAATTGTGAAATGGCAACATTGAATTAATAACAAAATTTTCTACAACTAAATGTATATTTGTTATCATAAATAAATCAAAAAAGTTTTTAATCAATATATTATCAGATTTTCGTTTTTATTCTAAAATTATATACAAATTTGGTTTTTCATTTTAAAATAATTTAGAAATTGATTTTGTAATAATAAAATTATAGAACATTTTTATAGAATATATATTCTTTTTGAAAATAATAATAAAGACTTTCTAAATTTTTAAAAGAGATTTTGATATGTTTGTGAAAAAACTTCCCAAGTTCATACAAAAAATATAGTTATTATTTTAAAATATTTTTTCAACGCAAGACAATTTGAAAGTAATAAAAGTATTTATTAATTCGAAAGCAACAAATTTTTTTTTAATTTTTGTTTCATTTATAAAATTTATGATTATATATTTTAATGTTTTAAAGTATTAAATAATTTATTTGTATTCTAAATTCTACTTAAGATATTCGGACAAACCAAATTTAACATTTTTTTTAACTCTAATGTATTAAATTATTATACATTTTTCTTTGACACGTTTACATATATAAAATAATTAAAAATAAAACTAAATTTCTGAAATTCATATTATTAATAAAAACGATATTATTGACCAAAAAAATTAACAACAAAAGAATCAACAACAATGTCTATAATAAAAATCAAAACAACTACATATATCACATTTTTAAAGACTAAAATTAAAAACAAAACTACATAAATAATTTATCCGCGTGTACGCGGGAGAATCACCTAGTTGAAAATAAAATACTTAAACTCTTTGTTATGTATGCGCTTGGTGCTTGTTCTCGTTAAAGATTTTATCATTTGTTCACTAGGGAAATCATTTTTATCATTTGAAAAGTAGTGTGGAAAATATAGATGTATGTTAATATTCCATAAATGAAAGTGATATTCTCATATCTTTGTATATTTCTTATTATTAGAATTGTATATATATATTTTTATGTGTGTATCAATAGTTAAATACTCTTGTGTTGTCATTCTTCAATAATAAGAAACATTTATACAACTCTATAGTAAAGACTAAAGAGAAGTTTTGACTTCATATGTTTACTCTAGCTGATTCATGTCACAAGCACATGTCTCTTAATGGAAATTCTGAGACTAAAATTGTAACAAAATATATAGTGGATTTATAGGAATTCTGCCATCGTCGAGACATAAACTATCAAATTGATAGCTGAACTCGTAAAGCTCGTGGTGCAATTTTGTTTTGATGCTATTTTCCTCTCTATGCTTTCAGATGATTTTCTTAGGCCATTAACTTCTAAAAATAAAAATAACTTTCTAAATTCATTTTGTTTTGTTAGATAACGTTTAACATATATATAACCAGAATCAAAGAGAGGTGGTTTTAGTTTTGGTTTTTTCTTGAGTGAAATATTAGTATATGTATGTTTCTTAAAAGAAAAAAAAATTAGTATATGAACCTTTTGTGGCACAGTAGATGGAGCTGATGCTCAAGGACATAATCCCAGCAATAGAGGATATGAACACGATGTTCCCACATCCTGATGCCTTGAGCAGAGGATGTGCAAGCTGGCTAAAATGGTACGCAGACTCCAAGTTGGTCGACATGTGGAAGGAGAAATCCTCTGCTGTATGTTCTGTTGTTGGCTTTGACCGGAGTGCGCCAACATTGTTTAACTAAATATCAACAATATACAACCCAAGACATGAATCAGCCAAAAGTGTTTACTTTTAAATTGTAATTGATTCGCATGATACAAGACAAATTAAATGATAAGAGAATCAAGATTAATTACGAGGATACTGAGCTTGGCATCAAACAACGAGGACACAGTCCGGATCATCTTCTCTCTGTCGGTCCAGGACGATGCATCACAGACTGAACCAGTGACTTGAAACCCTTTCTTTTTCCATTCACTTAAACACTCGTTGAGCCGAGATTCGTCTCGGGCACACGTATGTATTATTGCCCCACATCCTGCAAGTTCCTCCACTATAGCATGCCTAGAAGTTTCAAGAATCAAACAACATATGATTAAATAGAGTCTAGTCTATTGTGCTTTCAAGCATGTATGGAGAGAGAATAAATTAACGAACCCAATGCCTTTGGTTCCACCGGTGACAAGTGCGGTCTTGCCTACAAGGGTCCATCTGTGGCTTTGCTCTTCTCCGGCCATTCCCCTCAAATTGAAGATAATATTCGTATGAGAATAGATGTGGTGGAAATAAAAGTAAAAATATGGACGGCGTCCATGATGAGAACCAATCAGTGAACCAGAGTAAACCGATATTGATTATCTTATATGTCAAAGAGGAAGCATGACTAAGTCAAAGAAAAAGAAGGGATGTGGCTCTACGGTTTTTCCTAAATTAATGGGATTATTATCCCACTAGTTTACGTGTGATAGTTCATAGTTGTAGGGTTAATTGTTAGTTTATTTCTTTGCTTATGTATTTAAGGCATAATGGTTTAAATGAAAAGGGAAGAGATAATCGAAGTAAACTTGTGTTTTGTTTTTGTTCTTGATAACATTGGTCGATCTCTTGGGACCTATCAACTTGGTATCATAGCTTCCATTTCGTTTTTGATTCGGACCACGTTATGGTATCAAAAACAACCTTCATTCATCATCTATCTTGTTTTGATTCGGACCACGCTCATTGTGGTATCAAAACCTTTTCTATTTCCATATAAAAGAAAAAAAAACACACACACATACACACAAAAAATAATCCGATTATCAATTCATGGCTACTAACGAATACATCATCGGTGAGTTCGAATCACTCCTTGAAAATTTAAAAGAGGAGATGATCAAGATGAAGTTGGTTATTGGAGATCACTTCCAACACCTTGATACTTCAATCAACCGGATCAAAGAAGCGTGCAAAAGGACTAGAGAAGGATTTAAGTCATCTAAAGGGAGACGGCACGACGAAAGAAACATCAACCACCCAACGAACCGATCGACCAACAGAGGAGACAATATACCTCATCGAAGGAGACGAGGTCACAACTTTGTGAAGACAATGGCTCATGCTAGGATAACCACTACGAAACCAATCGGTAAGAAACGTGCCACTAAAGTGACGAAGAAAATTGCACCAGTCAGCGTAGGAGTCAAGAAGCTTCACCGTTACTGTTCCAGAACAGTCACACTACATGCTGTTTGTAAATGCGAGAAGGGTACGGAGCTGTTGATGTGTATAAGTACCTTTCAATGTCATGTTCATGATCCGGGTGGGAAGAAACTTCTCCATGTAACGTTCATCAAATGGAAAGAGTTGTCGGAGAAAAAGGTGACTTGGGAAGTCACAAGT